CCACCACAACCACCACTCCCACCTCCACCTCCACTACCTCCATCTCCACCACCACCACCACCACATCCACCACGACCACCATGACCACCACCACCACCACCACCACCACCACCATCACCAGTACCACCAGCACCACCACCGCCATCACCACGACCACCACCACCTCCACCATCACCACCACCACCTCCAACATCACCACCACACCACAGAAACACACAGCGTTTTGTTCTGTGAGTCGCTGGAGACACTAGTTAGTTACATAGAATCAAAACATCTCCTCTGCAGCAATGACTATCCAGCCACTAGCTTTTCATATAAAATAGACCTGCGGTTGACTGTATTTCAAAATCCTTTTGCAGCATTTCTGTTTCTCTCTGTTCATGAGGACGTGTGTGTGTGTGTGTCACTTGCTTTCTGGGATCTGCTTGTTGTCTACGTAATCTGCTGCATCTCTGTGGCTCTTCCTCGTCGCGGATGTCACCCATCACCCTCCCGGCCCTGGGTACCTGCGCCCCGCTCTCCCCCCTGAGAGGCGCGCGGTTCCTTTAAGACAGGCCCCGCCCCTCACAGCCCCGCCCCGCCCTCGGGGTCAGCCTGGGTGCGGGCTGTTCGGGCTCAGTCTGGACCTGGCTTCGGCGCGATGGCGGGAAAGGCTCTGCTCACGGCGGGCCGGCAGCTTAGCCAACGCGCGGGGTCTGGCGCCCCTATCCTCCTGCGGCAGGTACAAGGTGCTGGGAGGGGGAGCAGGGCTCCTGGGACTGACGCAGCGGAAGTAGGTGCTTGGGGCCCGACCTCCCACGTCCTTTTAAGGTGAGGGAGCGTCTCCATTCCTAGATTTTTGCAAAAGGAGTTGTGCCCTGGACTCGTAATTCTTTAAAAGAAGAGAGATCTGGGGGTCCGGATACTTGTGCAGAAAAAGGAAGCTTGGGGCCTTTACAGAAGTGAGTGCTGGACACTCAGATGATTGGCAAGTTGGGATTTCTTGGGCCCGAGGGAGAAAATAGTCTGGAAGACGGGTTTGGGGGTTTCTGCTTTTGGTTCTTAAGATGAGGATCGACTCCTGAGCGCACAGTGAACGGGGGTCTGGTTCTGTGTGCTCCCCTGAGCCCCACCCCCTTTCCTAGATGTTTGAACCGGTCAGCTGCACCTACACGTACCTGCTGGGTGACAGGGAGTCCCGAGAGGCCGTGCTGATCGACCCGGTTCTGGAGACCGCGACGCGGGATGTCCAGCTGGTGAAGGACTTGGGGCTGCGGCTCCTCTACGCTGGTCAGTCCGGGGCTCCAACTCTTGTGCTTGGGGTGGGTGACACCCAAGGGTGAGCCGAGAAGAAAACGTAGAATTCCCTTCCTGGACTCCTGGATTTAATGGGGGATGAGGGGAAGGGACGGAGGGGTCCCGGGTCTTCCTTACGACCTTCTGGACCTGGCCTGCCCCTTTATCCTCCAGTGAATACGCACTGCCACGCGGACCACATTACGAGCACAGGGGTGCTCCGCTCCCTCCTCCCGGGCTGCCGATCCGTTATCTCTCGCCTTAGCGGGGCCCAGGCCGACCTGCACATCGAAGACGGAGACTCCATCCGCTTCGGCCGCTTTGTGAGTTGGGGAGCTGAGACACTGGGAAGGTGGTAGTTTGGACAGCTTGGGTTTAAGGGAGCAGGGGTCTGGGGACCTGGGACCCCTGGTTTAGAAGACTTCTGATATTCCTGGGTGCTAGGGAGAATGGCACTGGAGGCCTGGGCCCCTGAATCCTGGGGGAGCCTCCCATGGTTCAGGGTTCCTGATGTCTAAGAGGATTGAGGATTGTTGCCCTTGAGAGAAGGCACCATAAACCTAGATGACCAGTAGGACAAGAGGCGGAAGTTAAGTGTGCCTGGCCAAGCCTCTTAAGTCAACAGCATTTATGGAGTTTTCCTAACGCTTTGGGGCAGCGCCTTTGGATTGGCATCTCCATAAAAGTTCATTGTTCTGCGCTGTCCAGTCGGAACTGACTCTCATAGCTGATCCTCCAGTGGGTTTGCAGAAGCAGTAAATCCCATGGGAGGAAACTGCCATCCTTCACCGCCATCGCCGCCCCCTCCCTGGCAACTAACAGGTGGATTCAAATACCTGCCTTTGGAATTGTAGCGCAGCTTCTTACCACTAGGCGGCCAGAGCGCCCTAGAGTTTTGTTGTTACTGCTGTCCAGTCAACTATGACCCCGTAGCCACACTGTGAACAGCAGTTCTGAACCCTGTCCTAACCTGTGCCATCAATTCCATCTCTAATATCTCGAGACCTAGCCCTAGAACACTTCTTCCTTGGCCTTAATCTTGGAATTGCAGCCCCCATAAAAGTTGATTGTTGTTATGTGCCATCAAGTTGCTTGCGATTCATAGTGACCCTATCTACAACAGCCCTAAACCCTGCTCTGTCCTGTGCCAATCTCACTGTTTCCGACACACCCATCCCGATTACCCCAGTCACTGAATCAATCCATCTCATAGAGGGTCTTCCCCTCCTATGCTGTCCCTACCCCCTCCCAAGCATGGTGTCCCTCTCCAAGGACTGGTCCCTCCTTACAACATGTCCCAAGTATGTTAGACAAAGCCCCAGAATCCTTGCCTCCAAGGAGCAGCCTCGTTTAACCCTCTCCAGGATTAACCTGTTTTTCTTAGTAGTCCATGGTACATTCAATACTTTTATCCAGTACCACAGCTCAAAGGCATCAGTTCTCCTTCTATCCTCCCTAGTTATTGTCCAACTCTCTGATGCATAACAACTGATTGCAAAGACCATGGCCTGTATCAGGCACACCTTAGTCTCCAGAGAGACACCATTGTTCTTCAGTACTTTGGAGAGGTCCCTAACAGCAGACTTTTCTATTGCAATATGTCTTTTCATTTCCTGGCTGCTGGTGCCAAGAGTGTTGACTGTGGAGCCAAGCAAACTAAAGCTGTGAGCAATCTCAATCTTCTCACCATCCATCCTGATGCTGCCAATTGGTCCAGTGGTGAGAATCTTTGTCTTCTTGATATTGAACCTCAATCCATATTGAAGGCTGCTGTCCTTGACCCTCTGCAGCAAGTGCTTCAGGTCCTCCTCAGTTTCAGCAAGCAGGGTTGTGTCATCTGCGTAACACAGATTGTTGATGGATCTTCCACCAATCCTGATGCCACACTTCTCCTCATAGAGTCCAGCCTCCCGGATAATTGGTACTGCATATAGGTTGAAAAGGTATGGAACTAGGACACATCCTTCGTGTACACCCTTCCCAATTTTGAATGTTGCAGTGTTTCCTTGCTCTGTTCTGCCTCCTGGTCCAAGCATAGGTTTTGCAGTGGCACGATCAAGTGTTCTGGGATTCCCATTATTCTCAGAGTCAGCCACAGTTTGTTGTGATCCACACAGTCAAACACCTTTGCGTAATCAATGAAACACAGATAGACATTCCTCTGATATTCCCTGCCTTCAGCTAAGCTCCATCTAACATTAGCTACAATATCCCTAGTACCACGACCCGTTCTAAACCCAGCCTGGACATCTGGCATGGACTTCCGGCAGTTCTCTGCTGATGTGCTGTTCCAGTCGTTTTTGGATTATCTTCAGCAGAATCTTGCTTGCATGTGAAATCAATGAGATTGTTCTATAGTTTCCACACTCTGCTGAGTCACCCTTTTTTTGGAATGGGAACAAATATAGATCTCTTCCAGTCAGTTGGACAAGTGATTGTTCTCTAGATTTCTTGGCACAACTTTGTGAGCATGTCTAGGGCAGCATCTGTTAGCTGAAATATGTCAATTGGTATACCATCTATTCTTGGGGCCTTGTATTTTCCTATTTCCTTCAAAGCAGCTTGAACTTCTTCCTTCATCACTATAGGTTCTTGCTCATATGTTGTTTCATGAAATCCTTCTGTGTCTGCCAATTCCTTTCATACAGTGACTCAGTATATTCTTTTCATCTTCTTTTAATACTTCCTGGATCATTTAATATTCTGTCTAAAGCAGACCAGAGCTCAAGGTGGCAAGGCAGCGCTGAAAAGTTGATTAGGGGCTGCAATTCCAGGGTCAAGATCAAAGGAAAAGAGCCCCTGGTGAGGAAGGAGCCTTCAGTATCAGAGGCGGTCAGGAAGGCACAGGACAGGACAAGGTTGGATCTGCTGTACATAGAGTGGCTATGAGTCCTAGTTGAGTTGACAGCACCTATCAACAACAGCTACAAAGCCAGGTGCCTGTGGCCCCAAATTTTAAGACTGGTGTAGTTTTATGGTGGGCTCTTGAGGCTCTCCCTGAGTTCTGTGCCGTAGGGGCCTTGCTGGCCTCACCCTGGTTCTAGCCCTGCTGTTGCCACATGAGTATTCTGAAGGCTTCTGCCTCCTTCCTCTTAATCAGCAGGTTTCCTGGCAGCTTTTTAACCAGACAGTATGGGTGGGGTGGAGTGGGAGTTGCCCTCGGGAGGTGGGGAAATAGCTGGCAGTGCCTCTTTCTGATCAGGGTTGCTAAAGATATTTGGCTGACACAGGATGTTACAGTCCAAGGTGAAGACCCAGGTTAGAGGGTTTTGCATTAATGAAGACAGTTAATCTGAGTGGAGTTTTTAAGAGAGATTGAGGGTGTGGTGTGGTGTGGTCAGAGGAGGTGAGCTACAGTAGTTATATGTGGTTGACTTTAAGCCTTTTTCTGGAAACTGTTTTTTTTTAAAGGATACCTAATACATAAATGAATAAATACTCCTCGTGCAAACAAGAATTTCTTGACTGGGGGAAAAGCAAATGGGTATTTCTTGGATTGAGAAAGATTATACGGTTGAATCATATTCTTAGTAAATGAATGTTGAAGGTGTTCACAATAACTTTAGTAATTTTTAGAAAGTAGCTTTACCAAGTTATTAAATATCTTTTTTCCCCAAAATTTTTTATTTTCTTATTTTTTTTTGTGTGTGTGTGTGTACCATCAAATCAGATCTGACTGGTACAGGAGAAGATTGTTCCTCCTTCTCAAGCTGAGCATCTGGTGGAAGGATATTAAATATCTTACACACATATACGGTGCACCCATTTGAAACAGTTCAGTGGCTTTTAGCATACGTATTCATTGAATGTGTTCACCCATCACTATAAACAATTGCAGAGTGTTTTCAGTGCCCACCCCAGGAGGAAGCCCAATATTCCTTGATATTTATCCCTAAGTAACCTTTCTCTTCCTCTCCAGATATTAAGCTAAAAGCTTCAAACTCCCAAACTTTCACTTGGTTTTGACTCACAGCCTTTTGGTTGGGAGCCTGGTTTGTTCTTTCAAGGCATTAAAATTTTTTATTTCTGCCCTATAGAGTTGCTCATTCTGGATATTTCATATACATAAAATGATATATTGTGTGGCCTTTTTTGACTGGCTTCTTGGGCTTAGTATATTGTCTTCAGGGTCCGTTTATGTTGCAGTAGCATCAAAATTCTATTTCTCTTCATGGCTGAATAGCATTCCATTGTATGAAATTTTGCTTACCTCATTCATCAGTGGATACAGGCATGGGGCTGTTTCCACTTTTTTGCCATTGTCAGTCTTGCTGCTGTGAACACTGGGTACTTTTTTTGTGTGTGGATGTATCTTTTCATTTCATAAGAGAGTAAGAGAGTTGGATTGTATGGTTATTCTATGTAGAACTGTTTGAAAAACTGCCTGACTACTGTATAAAAGCACCATTTGACATTGTTACCTGCAGATCAGGAAAGGTTTTGTTTCTTCACATCTTCACCAGCACTTATTGTTATTTGTTTTATTTTTTTGTGTGTGTGATCATTCCGTATCCTCTTTGTTTTAGATTATTTAGAAACATGTGGAGATGGGCTAATTTTTCTCTCCTTTATTTTCCTCCCCCTACTTTTAAAAACTTGAGTTGTGACTCATATAAAATCCATACATATACATTTTGATACATTTTTACATATGTTTACATATGTATCTATCACCCAAATCCAGGTACAAAATATACCAATTACCCCAAAGTCTTTCTTTTTTTTAAAAAAAATATGGAATGCGTGTCATCCTTGCGCAGAGGCCGTGCTAATCTTCTCTGTATCGTTCCAATTTTAGGACATGTGCTGTGGAAGCATAGCAACCCAAGTTCTTCAATAGTGAGCCAGATAGAAAATCCTTTGGATTTTATAGCCATGTGATCTTTCATAATTCCTATTATGGGTGTAAAAGCAGCCATAGGCATTTGTGTAAGCAAATGAGCATGATGTGTTCCAATAAATCTTTATATATTCTCTTTATCACTCCTTTTTACGGATGGCAGGCTGAATGGTTTGCCTTCACTCCCTTCCCTTTTCTTTCTAAGGGTTCTTTCCCTATTTTCTTTCTTTTTCACTTTAACTTTTTTGCATGGCCTACCTTTCACTAGCTATGCCTCTGTCTTAGGAAATTAATAAAACTTTTTCACTAAAAGAAATATAACCAACAAAAAGAACCTCTTTGGACACTGAAATTTATGAGTTCATGGGTTATGCAAGAGAAGTGTTGATAGCACTGTGTGCTACGAGTTGGGCTGCTACGAGAAGGTCAGTGGTGAGACCCCACCAGCTTCTCTGTAGAAGAGGCAGTTTCCTCCCGTAGGGA